ACAGCCCTCGCCCCTCACCTTGATGCTCTGGGAATGTTCACCTCCTGCCAACCCAGTATATTAGTGCTGTGGGCTGGGGAGCCTGGGTCACCACACACCCCACTGGGCTGATGGCCTCCCTGGGCCAGTCTGTGTGTTACAGATGTGCATATAAACACGAACCAGATTTGACCAGCATGGTGGCTCATGCCTGTAATCCCAGCACTTTGGGAGGCCAAGGTGGAAGGATTACTTAAGGGCAGGAGTTTGAGGCTGCAGTGAGCTGTATCGCACCACTGCACTCCAGCCTGGGTGACAGATGAAGACCCCCATCTCGAAATACATAAATAAATAACAGGCTGAGCACGGTGGCTCATGCCTGTCATATCAACACTTAGGGAGGCCAAGGCAGGAAGATTGCTTGAGCCCAGGAGTTTGAGACCAGCCTGTACAACATAGTGAGATCCCATCTCTAAATTTTAAAAAATATAAAAATAAATAAATAACACAAACCAGATTCCAAGCAATTGGAAGTGTTTTTGAGCTACTCAGAGAGAGGAATTTGCCCCAGCAACCACATGGAAAACTTTCCTAATCTTATTTTGATCTTACTTTTCCCCAAAGCCTCACCCTCCAGTATAGCTGCTCAAATTTCCCCCTGGTGCCTTCAGTGCCTCAAAATCCTCCCTTCTCATCCTTTCTCACACTAAACCAGAGCTGTTCGCCTTTTAACTTTCCTCACCCCTCTGGGGCTCCAGCTCTCCCTTTGTCATACACATTTTTCATTAGAATGACCCCTTCCCACCCACCTCCAAGAGGGGCCTGGTGTGTAACCCCACAGAGGATCAGGTCTCTTTAGGAGGGGAGAAGGGAGCGTGATTGGTAAAAATTATAATTTAATGTAATTGTTTTGGGCCTCCAGGAGTTGATCACTTCTGTTGACTGAAGAAAAAAAGATGAAGCTTTTAAAGGATTAAAGTTAGTTTTATTCAGAAGTCTCACTGAGGTCTACAGAAGCATATCTTTAGAGAGGTTCCATGAGACTACTCTGGCAGTGTTTCAGCTCACTGCTCATAAACAGGTGTGGGGGTTTAGTATCTGCAAAATCACATCAAACTTGCTCAGAAGTTACATTGGGTGTAAAGTGCATCTGATCATAGATGACATAGGCATAATCACTAACTTGCCAAACCTGATCTTATGTGTAGGAAAAAGCAAGGACTAGAGTCATTGCTTTTTTTTTTTTTTTTTTAATCTACTGATGGAGTCTCACTCTGTCGCCCAGGCTGGAGGGCAGTGGCACAATCTTGTCTCACTGCAACCTCTGCTGCCAGGTTCAAGTGATTATCCTGCCTCAGCCTCCCAAGTAGCTGGGATTACAGTATTCTGTTACTGCACCCGGCTAATTTTTTTTTTTTTGTAGTTTTAGTACAGACAGGGTTTCACTATGTTGGCCAGGCTGGTCTTGAACTCCTGACCTCGTGATCCACCCACTAGGCCTCCCAAAGTGCTGGGATTACAGGCGTGAGCCACCGCGCCCCGACTTTATTTTTCCCCTTGAGACAGAGTCTCGCTCTGTTGCCCAGGCTGAAGTGCAGTGGCACAAACATATCTCACTACAGCCTCAGCCTCCTGGGCTCAAGTAATCCTCTTGCCTCAGCCTCCTGAGTAGCTGGAACCACAGGTGGGGGCCACTACAGTCGTCTAGTTTTTTTCATAGAGATTGGAAGGAGGGTGTCTCACTTTGTCACCCAGGCTGGTTGGTCTCAAACTCCTGGGCTCATGATCATTCCACCTCAGAGTCCCAAAATGCTGGGATTACAGGCGTGAGCCACGGCTCCTGGCCTCATTTATCTTTTAAGGAATATAATGACTCAGGCAAGAGAGTCGGGGGTAGTGTACTCTAGACTGTTTTGTCCTCAAAGCATCTTTCCCCAGACCTGCAAGTTGTCACAGGGCTGGGGCTTTGTGAAATTCCGCTGCAGGCAGAAAGGAGCACACACGGCTTCTTATATTTGCTACTTTGTCTTACACTTCTATTGTTATAATCCCTCCAGGCGGTCTTACCGGACTTGCCATTGAGACTAACGCATGTGTTGGAAAGAGGCTGGCAAGGTCTGAGGGCACAGTCTGTGGCAGAGGCGGGGCCGGGCAGACCCAGCCCCTCAGCCAGGCCTTGTGGCCCAGGGCCCTGGCGCATGGCTGCTCTCTGGGAGGTGCGCGCAGCGGGGTGTCTGATCCCCCCAACCCAAGCCCCACAGAGGCACCTGAACCTCCAGAGGAAGGAAATTAGTCTGGAGGATTCGTGGACGTAAGGTATGCCGCCTCTTCCGGCTGGGATCACTCACAGAGCGTCAGGGAGGCGGCCAGCCCTGAGTCACGCTGAGCGCTGAGCAGGTTGTGACTCAGCGGGACCGTGGCCCCTTCGCTGCGCCTGGGTTGATTTGCGCCCCGCCTGTTTTCTGCAGAAGACAAGGCCGTCTGGGATTAGACTGCTCCTCCTAAACAACCAGCAGTTGCTTTTCTTCCTCAAAGTGCAGTTTCCCTCTGGCACAACCAAAAATAAACACAAACCAGGCTCCTGCCAAAGGACGTGGCGGGGAGGAGGACAGTCCCTGGGGCGCCCACCACATGCATGTGAGAGCTCGCAGGCCACTTGCCAAGTATGACTCTGTTAGGAAGTGGCCACGAAGGCAGAGAAACCGCCCATCGCAGGTTGCCAGCACAGAGGCGCTGCACGGTTGAGTTGGCGCTCTGTTTCCCCAACTGCTTCCTCTCAGGGACCCTCCTAACTGCTGGACTCACTACCGCGTGGGCCTGAGCACATTTCCTTGGCAAATAGTCCTCGGTGGAAGTTTTTTCTTCTCGGTTTGGTGAGTCAGAGCTGGCTCACACACAAACACCAAGCAGCAGTCTCAGGGACCGAAGTGCTTTAAGGACACAAGGACCTATTCTCCCTCCCCCCATCTCAGTGGGGTGGGCCCACAATTCCTGAAACCTGGCCCAGTGCAGTTCATTGGACAGGGAGAGGCTGAAAATGCAAATTGCTCCAGCCTAGGTGAGTGCGCAGCAGAGACCACGACCTCGCTGCAGCTTTTCCTAAAATCTTGAAGGCAGGAAACACAGTGCCCACAGGAAGAGCTGGACAGTCTGAGCCATACTGAGATGTCCCAGGGTGAACCAGAGCCACTGGTTAGTCACACTGACTTCACATTTCCTTCAGTGAGAAGGAACTGAAAACAGATTCCAGAAGTTGCTGTGCGGAGAATTTATAGTTCACTACATGTAAGTAAACTCATGTGGTTCCAAATCTATGGGATCAATTCAGCCATTTTAGTGTTATGTTTATGACACATGAATTTATAAAAATCTAAGTGTCCCTAGTTAGCTAGAGATACCAAAACTAAGCAGGCCTACCTTTTAAATACTTATTGTTGATTTTATTTTTGAATAGATAAGTCACTTATGCATTCAGATATCAAATCCTCATAAAATGATATACATTAAGAATTCTCATTTCCATTCTGTTCTCATTCCTCTCTGCCCCCATAACCACTTTTACTATTTTTTAATATATCCTTCCAGTGTATCATTATGTAAATATAAACAAAAATTAATATACTTATGTGGTTGTCAGAATAAGGCCTCCCAAAAATGTCCATGTGCTAATCCCCACAACCTATTAATTTGTTATTTTACGTGGAAAAGGGAGTTAGTTTGCAAATGTGATTGAATTGAGGATCTTGAGATTGGAAATTATTCTGGATTACTCCAGTGGGCCCAATGTAACCACAGAGGACCTTCTAAGAAGGAAGCAGTAGGGTCAACCTCTGAAAAAAGAGAGCTTGTAAGATGCTACACTGTCAGCTTTGAAAATGGAGGAAGGGGCTACAAAACAAGGAATGCAGGCAGCCTCTAGAAGCTAACAAGGCAAGGAAATGGATTATTTCCTAGAGCCTCCATGGGCAGTGATCCTTAGACTTCTGACTTCCAGAACTAGCAGTGAATAAATTTGTGTTATTTTAAACCACTAAGTTAGTAGCTGTTTGTTACAGAAACCACAGGAAATGAACACAACTATTTCTACGCTTTTCTTCTTTTCTTAACTTTTATTTTAGGTTCGGGGATACATGTGCTGGTTTGTTATACAGGAAGACTCATGATATGGGGGTTTGTTGTACAGATCATTTCATCACCCAGGTACTAGGCCTAATGCCCATTAGTTATTTTTTCTGATCCTTGTACATGAGAACATATGGTATTTGGTTTTCTGTTTCTGCATTAGTTTGCTAAGGATAATGGCTTCCAGCTCCATCCATGTTCCCACAAAAGACATAATCTCTTTCCTTTTCATAGCTGCATAGTACTCCATGGTATGTATGTACCACATTTCCACTGTTCACAATAGCAAAGATAGGGGATCCACTTTTATCTTAAATGAAAGTTAGCATACCCTGTATAGGGTAACCCAAAAGTCTTGGTGCAATTTTGGGCATTAATAACTTCAGAATTATAAATGCTACAGAGAACATCACTTGGAAGTTTTATTATATAAATCTCTTTTACATTTATTTAGTTTTGTGAGTTTTAAACAGTACATTTTATTTTTTGTTTCAGTATCTCTGATCAAAGATAGAAAACAATAGTGAAACAACAAATTAAGTGTAAAATTTATTATTCCAAATTCACAAGACTATATAAATGAATAAGAAATGTATACAAGGCTGAGCATGTTTACTCATGTCTGTAATCCCAGCACTCTGGGAGACTGGGGTAGGTAAATTGTTTGAGCTCAGGAGTTTGAGGCCAGCCTAGCAACATGACAAAACCCTGTCTCTATCCCAAAAAAGAAGAAAATTAGCCAAGGGTGGTAGTACATGCCTGTGGTACTTCAAATACTGAGGTGGGAGGATCCCTTGAGCCCAGGAGGTTGAGGCTGCAGTGAGCTGTGATTGCACTACTGTACTCCAGCCTGAGCAACAGAGTGAGGCCCTGTCTCCAAAAAAAAAAAAAACTCTCTCTATGTCTAATACAGTCATGGTTTGTGGTGGTTCCAAGAAGTATCTGAAGCAAGCAGCAGCTCCGTAGCATTAGATACTGGATAAATTGACCCATGTGTTTGCTCCTCATCAATCCACACATCTCCACAAGCTGAGAGAGTGTCTCTCCCTCATCATTTTCCTAAGGAACAGACTTACGTATGTTCAACAGGAAATGAAATAAAGGATATTTGCATGCAGAGGTTCATTAAGATCAATGGCAAGGTCCGAGCTAATGTAATCTGCCCTGCTGGATTCATGGGTGTCATGAACACTGACAAGACAGGAGAGAATTTCCATCTAATCTGTGACACCAAGGTTCCCTTTGCTTTCATCATATTGCACCGGAGGAGGCCAAGTTACAAGTTGTGCAAAGTGAGAAAAATCTTTGTGGACACAAAAGGAATCCCTCATCTGGTGACTCATGATGTTCACACCATCTGCTACCCTGATACCCTCATCATGGTGAAGGATACCATTCAGATTGATTTGGAGAATGGCAAGATGACTGGTTTCATCAGGTTTGACACTGGTAACCTGTGTATCATGGCTGGAGGTGCTAACCTGGGAAGAATTGGTGTGATCACCAAAAGAGAGAGGCACTCTGGTTCTTTTGACATGCTTCATGTGAAAGATGCCAACAGCAACAGCAAGACACCATCAATTTCTCTTCCCTGAGGAAAGGGTATCCGTCTTACCATTGCTGAAGAGACAGACAGAGACTGGTGGCCAAGCAGAGCAGTGGGTGAAATGGTCTCTGGGTGGCGTGTTAGACCTTTGTACATAATTAAAAATAATATGGGCTGGATGCGGTGGCTCACACCTATAATCCCAGCACTTTGGGAGGCCAAGGCAGGCAGATCACTTGATGTCAGGAGTTCAAGACCAACCTTGTCAACATGGCAAAACTCTGTCTCTACTAAAAATACAAAAGTTAGCCAGGCATGGTGGCTCATGCCTGTAACCCTAGCTACTCAGGAGGCTGAAGCAGGAGAATCACTTGAACCTGGGAGGGGGAGGTTGCAGTGAGTCAAGATTGCCCCAGTGCACTCCAGCCTGGGCGACAGAAGGAGACTCTGTCTCAAAATAAATAAATAAAATAATAATAATAAAATGGCACGATTAATCTAAAAAAGAAAGAAATGTATACAATTAAGTTTTCGAATCATCTTTCTTCTATGTTTATAGTACTTCTAACATTATAAAAATTTTGGACTGCACTAAGACTTTTGGGATACAGTGGATATTGCTCAGCACTTTGATTTTTGCCAGTGAACAATATGTCCTAGGGTTTTTGTGTCAATACATAAGGACTTCTTTTTTTCTTTTATACCTGTACAGTGTCCTCTCCTGTTGGTATACCGTAATTTATTTAAGCAGTCCTCTATTAATGGATACTTGGGTTGTTTTTAATTACAAAGAGTGCTACAGTGGGTAATCTTGTACATATATCATTTGTGTTGTGCAAGTAGACCTGTAAGTAAATTATCAGAAGTAAGGATGTTGGGTCAAAACCCTACTCTTTAAGAAACAAGATTTGCATGAGCTAATTTGCAGGAAAGAAAAAGGAAACAATAATAGGGTGTTATAGATTGTTGGTAGATCGCGGTGGGGAGTGGTAGACTTTGGCAAAGATGGCTACAGTAATTCCTCCTACCTCTGTGTGGGTGCCGGTTCACTGTGACTTTGCTGCTTCTGTCATCAAGAGGTCATTTATTTATTTATGTATGTATTTTTATTGACACATGTTAGATGTACATATTTTCGGAGTACATGTGGCAATTTGATACATTCATACATCGAATCAGGTAATTGGGATATACATCACCATTTTTTAAAAATTTGAAACAGGATCTCTCTGCCGCCCGGCTGGAGTGTGGTGGCATGCTTATGGCTCACTGCAGCCTGGCCCACTCAGGCTCAAGCGATCCTCCCACTTCAGCCTCCCCAGTAACTGGGACCACAGGCTTGCGCCACCATACTCGGCTAATTTTTTGTATTTCTTGTAGAGAAAGGGTTTTGCCATGTTGCTCAGGCTGGTCTCAAACTCCTAGGTTCAAGCAATCCACCCGCCTCAGCCTCCGAGAGTGCTAGGATTATGGATGTGAGCCATTGCTCCCAGCCAATATCCATCACACTAAATGTTTACCTTTTCTTTATGCTAAGAACATTCAAATTATTCTCTTCTAGCTATTTGGAAATATAGAATCAATTAATGTTAACTATAGTCACCCTACTGATCTATCAAACATCAGGTCTTATATCTTCTCTCTCATATATATTTGTATCCATTATTCAAAGGTCAAGTTGACTTCCAAACTCCTGGAATCTGGGCTGGCTAGTGACTGGCTTTGGCTAATAGAATGTAGAGAAAGTGATATCATGGGACTTCCATGCTGGAGCCTTGAAAGGCCTTGCGGCTCCCTCTGTCTTCTTCTGAACCCTCGGTCCTCCATGGGAAGCCTGGGTGCCTCCATGAGGATGAGAGAGCCAAAGAGGCACAGCCAGCAGCCAACACAGATGAGAAGGCTATGCAGTCATGAACCATCCAGCCCCATTGGAGCCAGTAGATGACATGCAAGAGACCCCAGGCCAGAGAGCAGGAACTCGAAGACAAGCCCACCCCAATCATCAACCCAGAGGCCTGCTGTTGTTGAAAGCTACTACATTTTGAGGTGCTGTATTATGCAGCAATAGAAAACCCACGCCTCAGGGAAGTAGTTTCTCTTCACAAAACTTACTTTGAAAGGATAAACTATGTTAGCCACAGCAGGTGAATACCTTTTAGAGTAGCCTATGGCCTGTCAGAAATTTTCTGAGCAAGTCCAATTCAGCTCATCTTGTGTTTAGCAGGGAGTTTAGGATCCACACCTCAACCCTGACCACACCGAAAACTCGGCTGACTCACTAAATTATCTCACTTTCACAAAGAGACAATGGAAGACTGACTGTGTGTCAGAGGGCGGCTAGGTGAAGGGGTCCCCCACATGAGGGGGTCACCCCCCAAGTTTCATTGTTGGGCAGCTTCCAAAGTGAAAGGGAAGGAAATCCACTCCTACATCATCCCTTCTGGCGCACACTAAGGCTCTTCTCAGTTCAAGAAATCAGGAAAATGAGGAGTCTGAAAGTAGCCTGGTTAGCTTAATCAGGCTCAAAAGACAGAATACGTTTGATTTCCATTTTTGAACTAGTACACCAGAGTTGTCAACATCAAGAAAAGCAATTTAATGTGTTGCAACTAGTATTTTCTTAAATGATATTTGTACACTCATGGTCATAGCAGCGTTATTCACAATAGCCAGAAAGTGGAAGCAACATAGTGTCCATCGATGAATGAAAGGATAAACAAAATGTTATGTGTGTGTGTGTGTGTGTGCATGTGTGTGTGTGTGTACGTGTGTGTGTGTATCTATATATATGTATATTATATATGCAATGAAATATTACTCAGCCTTCAAAAGGAAGGAAATTTGGACACATGCTGTAACATGGAGAACCTTAAAGACATTATGCTAAGTGAAAGAAGCCAGTCACTAAAGGACAAATATGATTCCACTTATATGGGGTACCTAGAGTAGTTAAGTTCAGACTCAGGAAGTAGAATGGAGGTTACCAGTGACAAAGGAGGGGAAATAGGGAGTTACTGCTTACTAGGTATGGAGTTTTGGATTCAGAAAATAAAAACTGTTCTGGAGATGGATATTGGTGATGGTTGCACAGCAGTGTGAATGTAATTAATGCACAGAACCATACACTTAAAAATTAACATGGTTCTTTTTATGTTATAAATATTTTACAATAAAAAATAAAAAGCAGAATGAAATATAGGTTACACAGATGTGTTTACTGTGTGAAATTTTATCTAAATCTACACTTATGTACTTTTCTGCCTATTTCCTATGCTTCAATAACAGAATTAATTATTGAAAAACTAAATACAGTATGAGAGATATAAGAATGTATTGCCCACAGTAAGGGTAAGTGTTGTTTTGTGAAATTTTTGTTATAGTTAGAACTGTGTGTGTGTGTGTGTGTGTGTGTGTGTGTGTGTGTGTGTGTGTGTGTCATCATGTTGTTAAGTGTATTTTGGATTCCAGTTTTTAAAAAATTGAAGAAACATTATGCTGGGGCTAGTCTCCATTTCTTAGTGTGTGGCTCCTTCCTTCTTGAATCTGATATGCTTTTCCCAGTGGAAGTAATTTAATTTTGACATTCATCTATGCAAGCAGAAAGATCCTTTCCCTGGGGTCTTTTCATCATAATCATTTTTCTCCATCTGACTGCTCACAGTAACTAGATTGTATATGCTAGATTAACCAGAAAATCCATACACAGACTTTTTATCATTTTGCTTCATGGACAGTTCATGAAAGCATTAGCAGAATACATCATGGTGAGAGGTTATGACATGAGCTTTATGCTTCGATTCAGAAAAACTATAGTTCCTTTAAACCATAGGGGGTTTGGATTTTAAAATTCCTTGGTGGTTATGGTTCTAAAGGTCTTATTCTCGTAGGAATTTCCTCTGTAATATCTAAAACAGTGGGTTGTTCATCTGGTGCTTGAACACTTCTGTTGACAATAAGGCATCTCAGCCCATTGATTCATTGCTGGGTAGCCTCCAATGCTAGAAAGCCTGTAAGGGTAGTTCTATGGCAGAATTGAGTGGTGAGTCACCCCGGAGCCCAAAGAGGCATCTGTGATCAGCTTAGCCTTGGTCAAAAAAACAGGTGCCTGGAACAATTTGTCATCCATATTTTCAAAGGCATCCTTCATGGGGAATGTGTATTGGCTTAAAAGGATGCACTTTAATTTTCTCTGTGTTTTAATAGAATGGAGCACTTAATACCACGTACTTCTAAAACAGGAGAGGAGGCGTTACTTCAAGTGTGCACGAAGGATCAGTGACTGCACACTGATTATTCCATTCTATCTTTATGATCCTGGGGAGAAGACTCTCATGATCTGGGGGCATCTTTCTCTTGGGTGTATGTGACCCCTACTCCCCACCCCCTCCCTGTTACAGGGGCCACCTCCGGTGGGGAGTGGGGGCCCTGAGGTGCCCCAGCGATGCCCATGGCTGACAGGTGAGTAATTCTAGAGATCAGTATTTGAAAGTCCACTTGATTATATAAGCCACATCTCCAATTATCAGTTTTATCTATAATGAAGGTAGTATTTTGGCCTTCCTTTGCCTTATTATTGTAATTATTTTTTTACTTTGAGCATGTTACTCATTAAGCCACTGGAATGCCAGCAACATAGACTTTATATCCAACTGGCTAAAGAAAGCTGCACAACGGGGCAGATTTGTGAAACTCCAAGTTAGACTCCCAACACTCTAGGGCTGTTCCTCAGTCCTTTTATCTGGCTTTGGCCAATTTTCTTTCCCATCTTCCTCATCACTTATTCCAAATCTTCTCCAATCACCAAGTCCCTATCCTTACTGCCAGCACACAACATCATCCCCTCCACCCTCAATGAGAAAAGTGAGGTGCCAGTGAAATAGATCTACTCCCTCTTTCCCCTTTATGAAAGCTCTCCTGGAAAAATAGAGAAAATGACAAGTCGTAGACATTCTAAAATTGTTAGACTTATAGGCAGAAGGAAAAAAAATATTTCCTGGATTATCTTCAGTTACCAGTACACTCTGCAAGAAAAATTAAATGAAACAGTGGACAAAATAAAAACTGGAATAGAGGAAGAAAAGAAACAAAGAAAAGGGAGTATGAGAGTCCTCCCCCTCAAAAGATACAATTATTTCACAGCTTTCTTGTCGTATGTTCATACCTGAACTTCCC